ACTAGAAACCAAAGAGTCAAAAGAAGAACCAATGTAATTCCTCCCCAGTGAAACTCCAGCTGAGGAAACTGAGCTTCCCCCCAGAAAGACTCAACTTCCCCTAGCAGCCACTCACACTGCCTCTTCCTGAGTGATTCTTGAGTTATTCTCAAAAACTATTCACAGAAGAGAAAGAGAAAATGGGGGTAAAAAAAAATCAAACTTCCTGGATGGAGAGATTTCGGTTTAAGACACTTCTCTCCACAGAAATGTGACATGAAGGGAACATCTGTCCCAGCATCTGCCCATCAGGTGTCTTGGCTGCCCACAACAGAGGATTTGTGTTTTTCAGAAAACAAACAACAAAGAAGCAAACTTGGGGCTGAACTTGTGGAAGGAAGGGCTGTGGGGACCCTGCGTCAATCTATGTCTCTCTAACATCTGGTGCTTAGGTCCTTCAAACAGCAGCTGAGGCCGCAAGGTCAGACCATCTACAGAGCGGCTGCCACCCTTCAACACTTCCACAAGAGCCCCCTGCCATCTCCCACCACTGCCGGAAAGCTGGAAGCCTCATTCTCCACTGATGCAAAGTCGTGCCCAATACACAATGCTCGATGAACTTGACCTTAACAGTTCACCTGAGGTACTATAAAGGAAATTCAATGCCTAGACCTTACAGCACAAGATACAGACCTTGTTGATTTTACAGAAATAAACAGATGGGTAATAACATGGCCAGGGAGTTAAAGTAAGTCTCAGCATAAGCAGACAACTGTGGGTGAAGCCCCGGGTGGAGGTTAAGGTCAGGTTTGTGCTCAGGGAAACCTCACTGTATCTCCCACTATGCTTTGTTCTGTCCCATCTTAGCAGACCTTGGCGTCGTATCCCTAACTAAAGGGAAGCTACAGAACATTCAATCCATCAAAGTTGGTGAGTATTTTATCAGAAGGCTCTCAGGCTCGATTTCAGAATCTTCCTGCACTGCTGGTCCCTCAGGACCTTTCACTACCACAGGTCAGGGAGGTGTGCCACCTCAGTGAATGCAAATGCAGGAGATGCATTTCCTTCTTCAAGGAAAACTTAAATAGCAAGTTCTCTCCAGCGACTGTCAAGGCCCAAGACACGGCCCATGATCCTCCCCCTTCTCAGATGCAGTCCATCCCTTCTCACAGTTTGTATATACAGCAAACAAAGCGTGTCAGAAATGGTGATGTGTGACTTCAAAAGCAAGGCCGTGACATAAGGTTCACTCATTGTGGGGCAGTTGTAGGAGACCTCCTTCAGAGCCACACCAGCAAGCCTGGAAAAAGCCCACACACAACACGACATGGCTGACAAGAAGAATGCAGTCTCAAGAGAGACCTAGAGCCTGAACCACCAAGGAGATACCCCTTAGTTCCTTACTCACAGAAACTGAATGGTAACTCTTGTTTTAAGGTATTAAGTTAGAGGTGGCCTGTCACACCTGAGAATCACCATCACATTCGGCTTTTCTCCAGCTCATCATTAACAGCCTCCGGGCTTCTTTACCGAACACAACAAATGAGAAACAAAAGCCCCTCACTCACTTGACTCTGTTCCATTGCCCTCTAGAGCAAGGGGCCAGAGGCCTTCCTGAAAGGGCCAAACAGTGTGTACTTACGGCTTGTGGGCCAGTCTCTTTGGAGACTACACAGCTTAGCTGCTGTAGGTCAAAAGCAGCCTTAAACCACATGCAAAGAGATGGGTGTGGTCTTTCTCCACGAATTTACACAGAAGGCCAGAAACCCAAGCCAGCCACTTTGTCATCTGCCTACATTTCTTTCACTCATCAGAAATTTTAATCATCTTGCAACTTAAGCCCTGTGTTCCATGAGGCTAAGGGGTGTGTGGGCAATGGCCCAGGTGCATGAGTCCAGGTTGAAGAGCAACCAGCAGGAGACTCTTCCCCTTCCACCGTGTGGATCCCAGGGAATCAAACTCAGGTTGTCAGACTCGGAGGTGCCTTTTCCTGCTGAGCCATCTTGCTGACCCAGTCACTTAACCCCCTGTGGTTGGGTTTACATTCTCACCTAGGACCTGGAAGATCCCAAAGGTGACATATGACTCCCATCTTTCCTCAGCACCTGTCCCTACTGGCCCTGTTTACTAAGGGTGAGCTCCTCTTCTTCAGAGGTTTCTGCCTTTGGCTTCCGTTGTGGTGAATTACCTGGTTCTTCTCCAGTCACCCTCTTCTTAGTCCCTATGCTCTGCTTCCATCCACAGCTTAAGGCTGTCTTCATGACAGGGCTGTTGTTTCTCTTTTATCTTAGAGGCCTTGGTGCTTCAGAAGAAGCAGGATTCCATAGATCAACACTAGCTGATGATGTGCCTTGGGGATCAAAGCTTTAAGCAAGGCCAAACGGTCAGATAATAAAACCCTCCATCCCACCTTGTCCGGGATGAAGTGTTTCCAGACTGCATTGTTGTTTGTTTAACTGACTAGATTTCTTCTTTGACATTTCCACACAGGTATATAATGTGTTCTGTTTACTCTCACCCTCTGTGGTGGCTTAAATAGGAATAGGGCCACCCCGCCCCTCCACTCTACAAGCCCTTTCCCACATACATGCCTCTCTGCTTCGCTTTAGCCCCCACGGACTCTAAGTTAACCAGGGACACCTGTATAGCCATGGATTGGGAACTACCCAGTGCAGTCTGGATGCACAAACGAAGCCAATGGCTGCCTTCTTTCACCCCTTTTCCGCCAATCCACCAGTACCCAATAGCTCAGCAAAGAGGTGTTGGGCCCCAGGAGCACCCCCATCCCCCACACGCCATCCATGAGCACCTGGTGAGAGGCTTCACATTGTGCAGACCCAGGAGGTAAAGTCAATCAAGTCCTTGTCACAAATGGGACAGTTGTTCATGCAACCTGGGCTTCCTTTTTAAAATTAAGTCTATCTAATAAATTCTGCTTCGTTTTCTTAGACATGATTCCTGAATTTCCTTTTCTGTCTTCTACACTTCTCTCTGCCATCCTTCCTCTTACCTTTATTTTAATGCCCTCCGCTTGTACAACACACATGTACATACTGATAATGAGTGGCAATCGTTTCCACATCTCTCCAAATAAACTGCCTAGGGCTCTGTAATTACCTAAAGATGCCGTGAGCTCAACAATGAGAGTTCAGACTAGAAAATACGAGCTTTTGCTCTTCTCAGGTTTTCTACCCAAGGAGATTTAACTTTACAGCAGTTACTCTTCATCACCAACTCAACTGGATTCAGGGTCTCCATGGAGATGACCTCAGGGTGTGTCCACGAGGGTTTTTTTCCACACAGGTTTAACTGAGGAGCTTAGACCCATATGGAATACCAACAGCATCACCCTATGGACGGGGATTCAGAAGAATAAAAAGGAGAAAATGAACTGATCCCCAGCATGAATCTCCCCCTTTTTCCTGGGCCACCGTGATGGGTGGTACCCTCAGTCGGAGAGTCAGGGCAACCCTCCTTCCTTAGGTTGTTTTTGCCAGCCGTTCTGTCTCAGGAGCAAGACAAGCAACTGATGCAAATATTAACTGTAAAGTAAATATGCTTTAGTTGGGCTTCCATAAACCTGAGCCAGTTCAGAGCTGAGTTCAATATAAACTCTACTTCCTTCAAAATCACAGCAAATTACTGAACTAGGAACTAGGAACTGTAGGACTGGCTTTATATAACATCTTGCTACCTTTCACAAATGTGTACGTAAAACAAAAAAAATCACGTTTCCCATGGAAAATTATTTTCCAAATTAACAGCTGTGACATACCAACTGGAACAGCTCTAGATCAAACACACACACACACACACACACACACACACACACACACACACACACACACAATGAACTGGAAGTTTTTCAGTTCTTCCTGGAGCCCACCTACAAAGCCCAGGTTTTAAGCAACACATCCTTGGCTAAAAGCAATACTGCCTCAGCATCCAGCCTAGAGGAGAGCAGCGCCATCAGATAAGGGGGCCACACAGAACATAATACTTGCTGTTCCCAGCCAGTCCTGACAGGTTTACTCAAACCGCTTTTCCTGAACAAAGCCTCTAAGAAGAACTTAACAAATTCTGTGCCATATCCTACTTAGGACCTGGTAGTATGGACATTCGTGAAATTGAAGTCTTTGGATCCTAGAACATTTACTGTCAGATTCGTGCTCACAAAGTCAACTGGAAGATAACTACTCCTCACTTTCAAAACGATCTCCCTTCCTAGAAAAGAAACTGATGCAGCTTAGTAAATGGGGAGTATGACCGGTGGAATAGCCACTTTAATTTAACCATAAGTTACCTTTCCAGGAATGCATCACAACACGAAGTCCTGGAACTCTGTACATAGGTGGCGCCTCATGGTTCGTGCATTTTGGGGAGGCTAAATATGAAACATTCCTTGTAGCTGACATCCTGATACTGGAAATACTTTCCCATGGGAAAACTGTGGCATTCAGTGCCAATGAACAAAACAACCAGCTACAACAGTGGGTGTTCATCCATGGCTTCAAAAGCAAGAGGCCACTTACAGAAGGCTGAGCTAGAGGATGTCAACACTACATTTAAAAACACTGCCAAACTTTCTGGAAACAAACCTTTGCTATCGGAGAAAACAAAAAGTTTTGTTTTGTTTTGTTTTTCCAAGCCACAACAGAGAGCAAGGAACTGCAATGGACTTTCTTGACAACACTGTAGCTAATGTTGGCTTTAAATGGGCACAGCTAAAACAAAGGTAAATGTACAGACTTAATGTGGACCAATCTGCAGAGGGCATTAAGTGGAAGCCCACGCCAACAATTGCTACAATTTACAACGAAGCCCAGAGGCAGCTTCTGGAACAAGTTCTCTGTCTGCCCTTCAAACAGGGTGTTCCTTTTCTCCAAGAACTTTCTCTCCTTTTCATTATCAAGATCAAAATTCCTTATAGAGCAGGTCTGGCAGCATTCTTCACCCGGGTCCCAGCTAAGAGGGGCTGGAACAAGGAGCCCTCTGTTTCCCTGGCTAAGACGTCCAGCTTGGCAAGACGGTGGTCGGATCCATAGCTTGGCTGCATCTGTGGATTTATGCCGTTTCAAGCTTTCAGGCTAATGAAGACCTTCTGGTTTCTACATCCAAGCAGACATTTCACTGGCCTGAATAACTCTCATATGGTGAGGAACTGAGTACTTTTTTCTTCTTTGGGTGGGATTCTTGTATAAAACAGGACAGATTCTATTTCTATCCTATCCTTGGTTTCCCTAGAAGAAATGCTGTTTGCTCGTCACCTGAGAACAGTTCAACTACATCCCACAAAGAAAGTCTACACTCCAAGTTGCTTTTAAATTCAACACCAAAAACATTCTTTGTTTCCAAGTATAACGAACTGATTTCCATAATCACAATCTAGGAAATTTGCTGAACTCCCTTTAAAGATCAATAATCGTGAGCAAATTTTCACTCTCCATCCAAAGGACAAGAAGCTGAGGGAGGGTCTGCTTTACAGTGTGGTCCGCAAAGAACATCTGCAGCTCCTCACTTTATTGCTAACATAAAACTGGAATTAAAATTAGAATCCCAGAAGGGAAAGAATCTGTATAAATCATCCGCGCCAACTGGAGCAGAGAAAGGCTGAGATTTCAGCCACAGTCACAGTTGCAGAGGCAGAAAGGGGGCCGGCTGTGGTCTGTCAGGAGCTGGCTTCCCAAGACCAGGCTAACTCTCGAAGCAGAACAGCACTTTGCCCGGCGTGTACAAGTATGGATGTCTGGTGAGAAAGGACAGAATTGTCACTAAACCCATACGGAAAAGTGAACCAGGACGACTGCTTCCAGCCTAGAAAGATCTGTCACAAAAGTGAGTAGAGAAAAAAAAACTCCTTTCAAAGAATTTATGTATATTTCACTCCTGGAAATCTGTCATTCTTTTGAAGTCACTTGCTGACATAGCTACAAATTACAAGTCACAGCTCTTACTGAAGGCTTTCGAAGGCTCTGTTGAAGCCAAGCTCTTCGAACACCAGCACAGGTGTTCTCAAGTTGGCCCAAACTCCATCTCATCTCAAGGCTAGTGAAGCATGCTCCCTGTGGGCACCCAGTAGGAAATCAAGAGGTTCATCCAAAGAAACACTTGTTATTCAACACCCAGGAGATTAATAACCAACACTGAATGAGAGCTTGCCTTACAGGCAGGTCTCAGAGAGGCTGGGGGCCAAACAGCTTAAGCACAATACAGATGGATTAAAAACTGGAGTTTTAAGAGATAGAAGTGTCTGTGTGGTAACCAAAGTATTAAGCTCAAAATCAGTTTGTAATCCAATGACTGCCTATTTAGTCCTTCTTTAGTCTGTAACTATGCTTGCTATAAAGGAAGGAATTCCAGGGAGAAGCTCTCTGAAAAGACAACACTGATGAAAACTTCAGTGACTACATTCAATTAGCAATGTTGTTGATTCGATTGCCTAATGGCAATTTCTTTCAGGTCATCTCCCTGCTAAAGACCCCAACCTTGCCCACTTCTATATCTGACCCAGCATCCTGAATAACAAAAACCTTAGGAAAGTATTCACTTAACAAAGCACAGTCCCCCACCTACGTCTTTTTTAACTGCCTTGGATTTTTTACTTTTTTTGTTCTGCATTGCCAAGTGCATTCTTGACAAACTCTCTGCCCTTGGGCTATGTTACCAGGATTAGGGTGCATTGCTGTTGCTGTTTGTGTATTTGTTTGCTTGCTTGCTTTTTTGAGACAGCCTCAAGTAGCCCAGTTTGACCTTGAACTCTCTAAATAGCCAAGAATGACCTTGAAATTCAGATATTCTAGCCTCCACCCCCCAGCTGCTGAGAATACAATTATTGTAAGAGTGAAATTCTTTTCAGAGCTGTTAGGACATAGAAACTAAACTTTGGGGTATGCAGGGACGGTACAGCATTATTGCGGCAAGAGAAACTAATCCGACACACATTTAACAGAAACAACTAAAATGCTGCCTTATTTCAAACGGAAGAAATGTTCTCAAAATGATTTAAGCACCTTATATTCTGATTTGAATAATTCTTTGTTTTGTTTGAGACGGGGTCTCTTTATAGGTAGACCAGGCCTACAATGACCTTGCCTACCTCTGCCTGCAGAGTGCTGGGATTAAAAAATGTGCAGTCATCACACCTAGCTGAATGATTCTTTGACATTGTATAAGGCAGATTTGTATGATTCGAGAGTTCAAGACAAAAACAATCGCAGCTAACACTCTGAGATTCCACAGCAGAGAGGCTCAGACAAATCCCAGCTCTCTTTGTGAAATCAAAATACAATGATGCATTCACATTCAGGAAAACATTAGTTAGAAGAAGCAACTGCTGTAGTTTAGGTCTGGGGTGTCCCTAAAATGCCCATGTTGAAAGGTTGGCTGGCAGTCCACCGCACTGCCTGGAAGTAGGGGAACCTTTAAGAACTAGTAAATCAGGTCATTCGGTATGCTTTTGAAAGGGAAAAGAGATACAAGGACACCAGTAAAACCTCATCCTGCCCCTCTGCTCCCCAGTCACCAGGGATGTACTGTGTCAACAGAGGTCTAAAGCACCGATCCAAGACCCAAAATAAATCCTATCCTCCTTGGAAGTCGATTCTCTCGGGTAATTTGTCAAAACGACTGAAACCTGATGCAGGGAGCTTGGAGGCAAACGGTTTATTTTTCAGGAGACTCTACAGAAAATGGGTAGTTGATAAGGAAAACAATGAGCCAGTGAAACAGATGGATAACCATCCCTCAGCACTTCAAAAGAGACTGAGTTGTACAGGAAGTAGATGAGCTTGGCATATCCCCAAAAGTCAAACCTTGTAAGACAAAACCCATATGAATCCCCATACCATATCCCCCCAATCTAAGATACTTGCTGCAAGGGGACCTCTATTTCTGCCCCCACAAAGCCTATACGAATGAGAGTCGTGACCAAAAGTCAAAATACCACTATTACCCATCTACACCTTGCTTATAAATTAGTTTTTTCCTAAAGATAAACAACAAAAACTAGTGTTCTGTAAACTTTTGCTTCCTGCCATCTTTTCTATAAGATTATGGACCACACTATACCTAGTCCTTAAGTCAGTACCTTTGTTCCCTTGCATTGTTGTAGCGGGGGGGGGGGGGGTCTTTACTGCCTGGGTAAGCACTAGTCACAAGTAGGGTAGCTACTAAAACAGAGGAAGCCAGTAGAAAAATGGGGAACACAGTGATCACCTTTGCTGGTGATAATGAAATACATCCTGTCTCTCACTCATCTTACTTCAACCATACCATCCCTTGGCACATGAAAATCTAACTACTCATGGCATGGAATAGCACCCTTCTAAGCAAGAACTGCTATAAACATCCTATATGTAATGTGTGGCATGACCTACGATCAGCAGTGGTGTATGAGCCACACTATGCTGCTTCGCACGCCTAGATCTGAAAATGAAAGATCTAAGTACAGGCAACATTGTTCTAAATGCAAGCACTGGAGCCTTTAGGGAGATGTCAATCATCTGTTGCCAAGTTTTAGCTGTGATAATTATGCAGTTCTCCTTTTATTTTATTTTATTCTTTTTCATTTAGACTTCTGCAAAGACACAATTTGGCTAAATGAGTGGGTTTTTTTAGTTGTTTATATTTGTTTTACCCAATACATACTCGGAAGGAAATACTTCAAATGGGAAAACAATGCTTATTAAATAAACTGTATCTCTACTCATACGTTACATGTAGCTGTGTAAACATAAAGTCTTATACTAATAAGTGGCGGGCAGATTTCATCAGCAAACATGTCAGTATGACCACTGTTCACAACGGGAAAGCAACATATGCTGGACTAGGTATAGCATACCCAGAGAGGTCTCTTACTACACAGCTCTGACATGGGCTATCCGAGTGTTCTAAAATGCTAAGTTGGGAAGATTAACTGATTGATTGCCATAGTTCACCACTGGCAGAGTTATCACTCCCCAGAATCTCAAGTGAAAGTCTAAGAATCGCCTGAGTTCCATGTGTCTGCCTTCATAGATTCTGCTTTACTTACTGCAGTGTTGACCCATGACTCCAACAGACTATTAGATGGAGAAAAAAGTCTTAGAAAAGCTGCAGGTATGGAAATTACTTGAGGAAAAAAATCTTCCCAAACAGATCATAAATTTGCTGCATATTAGAGTTGTAGGCCACACTCACCATTATCTAAGAAATACCCCCACACTGCTTAAAAAGAAACAATTATCGTTGCCTGCCCGAAAGGCACACAATACGTTTCTCTTTACAACTTCCACCAGCCTCAGGCTTCAAGACACTAAAATCACCATTCTTAGAAAGAATTTGGGCTGGAACATGGAAGGAGCAGTTAGTTAGTGGGAGTCCTAGTCTTGAACTCTTATGAAGAACTCAAGAATAGACATAGGTCAAGTACATATATCCTACAGTGTTCACATCCTTAGTAGATTACAAGCTGTAAAATTCTAATACCAAAAGGGTAATGAAATTGGCAACTTGTCTAAAGAACCTTACAAAAACATCACTAATTTTCCAGGTAAATACAGCCAGCTTTTCTTTAATATGCTCTGGGTGCAACTCTGGGTGGGGGTGGGGATAGGGATGGGAGTGGAAGGGAAGGGAGTCTGAGCTGAAGACACTCTGAGCCCTGCTAGACTCCCTAGAAAGTCACTTCCAGTAGACCTGCTACTAGCAGGTGACAGAGCAGTTCAGAACATTGCCTCAATGCTATCGATTCAAAATTTCAAGCACATGTAGGTTTTACTTAAGCCCATAAACCTGTGGTTTTAGAACATGATTCTAACACATTTTTGCACTTCACATACTGTTTTCAGTTAATAGTATAAAGAAGATCATACAGTTAGGTTAGTAATCAACATTTTATTCAAAGGTATCTAGAGCTGGGGAGATGGCTCAGGAAGTCCAATACCTGCCACAGGGGCACAGGGTCCTGTGTTTGGATCCCCAGGACCCACAGAAGAGCTAGGCAAGCCATATCTATAACCCCAGCCTTAGGGGGGAAAAGGAGTTGGGGAAATCACAAACGTTCTTTGGCCAGACAGTCCAACCAAATTTATCAATTTCAGGTCTTCAGAAATGAAGGTGGGGAGTAGTCACAAACAAAGAAACACTGGACGGTGACCTTCAGGATTCTACATGCACCCTTATGCACATGTGCTCACTACACACACACACACACACACACACACACACACACACACACGCACGCACGCACGCACACGTGCGCAGAGAATATCACAGTAGAAAAGATCAGGCGAGTAGGAAGGAAAGGCAATGATAACTTATTCCATGAAACCCACTGGGACACAGTGGTCCAACTGCTGACCTTTGCTCTTTTATCTCTTCAGGCATGCACAGAGAAACACACACAATCACATTTGTGTAAAGGTATGAAGGGACCAGTCATCAACTTGGACAGGACAAGAGTGAACTTGAGTGTCCTCCAGTAAAGAGCATCAAACAACTCATGGCCTTAGAACATCACCTTTCTATTTTTTGCCAAAATCATAGACAATATTTCAGGATGAGAACACTGAAGCATTCTTTTCCTTAAGCAGAATGAATATTTACATTCTATCCGTTGGTTTGTTTCCATCCAAAGTTTCACAATGTTTACTCATCTGCCTTTCCTGTGTGCTTACAACTCTCACACTCATTGTATTTTTATCACTAGGACTTTTGACGGAGCAGAAACGGCCCAGTGAACACAACAGAGATCCAGAGAGAATGCTGAGTTGATGTGAAAATTCACAGTAGCTTTCAAACAGCATTCATTCCTGTTCATTGTTCACATTGCATCGTTATCTCTCTTAGGGTAAGCCATGATTATTTCTTCTCCAGGGCTCTAAATACTCAAAGGTTCCCGTTTCGAGCTGTCTGCTTGGTAAGCACCAGGAGACAATCCTTCTCAAATAAGTTAGAGCTAGTTGGGCACTATCCCCTCCCTTTCTAGTGCCCTCAGCTTTATTTAAAAAATTCTCTGTCAAATTACCATTCTTAAAAACAAAACAAAACAAAAATGCCATTCTTTTTGCAATAAAGGCCTTCGGAACCACAATCCCAAGGGGTAAATGTAATTCTGAGAGGGATGTAGTAAGACTCTACTTAATGTCATGATGGCAATTTTTAGTTGACAGTGATAAAAGCAGGAAGGATGCTGAGGCTGTGACGACCATTCATGGTCTTTACTGCCAGTGAGCATCCAACTAAACACTCAGTGTAAAGCAAAAGGCCTTTATTTTGTTTATAAGATGCAAACATGATAAAAGTGACTTTGCTGCCTGGGAAAACTGCCTCACTCTCTGCAATGTGCCTGTTTCCCTCCCACAATAAATTATAAGAGCTAAAGAATGCCTGGCACGAAAAATAATAGCATAATAAACTAGAATGCAAAAAAAGTCAATATTGACAAAGGCATGGAACACTACAGAATAAATTCAGGCTGAGGTATCTACAGGAGTTTTTTCCAGTGCGAGCAGGTGGAGAAAGGACTGTCCAGCATTCACTCCTCTGCCATTACCAGTGTCCACACATCAGTTATAGCTGAACTTGTCCTGACCCCCAGGCTCTTCATACAATAGTCTAAAAGCAGCAAGGGGATTTCTGGGCCACAGGGCTCAGCTCACTTCCTGATCCTCTGAAAACACAACCCTGAGAGACGCATCAGCTTGCAACTCTCATAGGATTTCTTAAATCAGATGATCCCCCCTGGACCCCGCAGATCCCATGAACACTATGGGCAGCCATACATCGTGAATGAAGTGCCGATCGCAAACTGTGCTTTGTTTCAGTTCCTGCGGTTAGAAAGCCTTCAGAAGCACAAGGCGATTCTCAGAGATTTCAACACGTAACCTAACACTTAAAGTAAAAGGCTGGTGAACAAAAACACACCTGAAAATCCTTCAGGGATGAAACGGAAGCTAACTGCTGACAGATAAGCCAAACAGTGTGTGCTGATGGCTATCAAGCCCTTGCCACTTCCAACAGACAAGGGTTCAGAGTTGTCTCGGTCCAATGTCAGGTTTCAGGAAAGTTCTGGCTCGATGCCCTAGGATTGTATGTAAATATTTCCTAGGCACTAAACACACCCACAGATGAGGGCTGTGGGGAGACCCAAACCCAGCTGTGTACAACATAAAGGGAGAGGTGCCTAAGGCTCAACAGGAGGTGCTGAAATAAAAGGGGACAGATGACAAGAGTGTATCAGTGGAGACACCGCGGAAGAGGACGCCGGACGAGGAGAAGGATGCTGCTTTCGGCGAGTGGGTAAAGACTGGAGCAGAAAACAAGCACCGTGGCTGAGGGAAGGAGTCGGGAGATGTCTCGGGGCATGTAGGGAAGCAGACTTGATTTGTACTAAATGAAGATACACGGAACTTCCATGCCCCCAACAGGGGGGCAGGGAAGGATGGAGGGAGGGGAGAGAGGGAGGGAGGGAGAGAGAGAGAGACAGAGAGAGAGAAGGGAGCTCACTGGTGTGAGAAGATGAGCAGGCTCCTTCTCTAAGAATGAATTGTGTTATAGGCAGAAGAAGAAAGGAAAGAAGAAGGAAGGACATGATTGCTCCTAAGAAAGGTGGAGAACGTTTGTTGCAGATATGAGGGAGAGCATGGCCAGAGGCAGAGACATAAATCCAGAATGAACATGACTCTTGAGCTTGGCCATGTGAGGTGAGGGGGAAAAGGAGAAGGGAGAAGGGAGACCAGGAGACCAGGAGGCCAAGAAAGGACTGGGTGTAGCCAAATGACTAGGTTATATACCAGGGGAAGGGCAGTCCCGCTCCTGGGTTAGAGAGTTCAGGGAATGTCAGCCATAGCCTGTAAAAGGTAGGGACAGAGGGATGCTGGGAGAACCTGGCAGCCAAGTCTGCTGTGTCCTTGGTTTGAGACCTAGCTAGCCATAGGCCATATGACTCTACAGTGCTGTTGGTCATGGAAAAGGATTTGGCAATGCCTTCTCTGTTACCAGTAATAAGTGTCAAACTGTACCAGGGTAGCAAATTGGAGTAAGTGCTATTGGGGGAGCAGTGTCCCTCTCAAAAGTAAACATTTTCTGGGTGTATTAACAGGCATCCTGTTCCGCCTCTCCTGCTCGAGGCCCGCAGCACATGTGAGCTTCTCAGAGTCAGTCTGGCAGAGCAACCCATCCACATGTCATTGCCTTGAGTGATGAGAAATGACTTTGCTTTTCAAAAACAATCAGCTGCTAACAGTGCTGAACAGCATGCCTGTGCAACTTAGGGGAAGGAATTCTCTCACTGTCGTCATGTACTCCTGTTCTCCGGGGATGTTCTGACACATCTATAAAGGAGTAGGTCCTGAAACGGAGAAGTGACATGGAGTTCAAGCTACATCGTTCTCTGAGGTATGAGAGGTGATGGAAAGACTTAAGTTCTACTAAGAAATCTATGCAGAATGTTTACACAACTTTGTCCAAATAAACCAAGCGAAACACACAGCTGTGATAACAAAAAAAATGGCATATGGATTATGGCTGCCTCCTTTACTGCAGTTGTTGATTGTACATCATTCTAAGTAAGGAAAATGGAGGTAATAATTATCAAGAGGCCTATTCTCAGATTCTCATAAAAATGAGTTTTCAACTCTCACAAAGACTTGCTTTTACAATCAGAGTGTAATCTTCAGCGAAGAATTGCTATGGGTCTTGCCCATGGTCTTCAGCTGGGCAGTAGTTATCTCTTGGAGAAAGTCAGTTGTCGGTTAACTCGCATGGATTCGAGGTCACTTTATTCCCAGATTTGTTCCCATGTGTAAATTCTAGGTGACTGGGAAAGTTGGTCACCACAGTATGGGTAGCCCTACTTGTATCTGCCATGTAGAAGTCAAGGATCCCATACAAGCCACCCTCTCCCACTAATTCCCTCCAAATGGAGAATTACCAATGACTTGGTTGGAAAACTCAACAATGTGTAGGTTGAAATTCTGATCTAAGATTGTTTTCCTTAGGAGAAAAACTCATTTATTATAAGTATCCATATTTCTAAGACAGAATTCATACAAAATTAGCATTAAGGCTGAGGTAGAGTGGGTAAAGTATGAGCTTAGCATGCATAAGCCTTAGTCAACTTCCAACACCAAAACCAAATACCAACAGGCACTCAAATACAGGTTGAGCCAAAGAAATTTTACTTCTAATATACAACAAAATACTAATCCAGTGGCACAATGTGAACTTATAACTGTGAGTCCTTTAACACATTTACTTTTCAAAGGGGATCAAACATTACAAACGCCTTAGGATGGGTTCCATGGTGTCAGAGTTAGCAATCTGAATCCCATTATCCAAAATCACAGGTTATGGAACAGGGTATTCCCTTCAGTTCATGATAATGCGGGATTGGTTCACCATTAAGTTATAACTCAGTAATGAACAAATTCTTGAATTGTGTAATTTTATCCAACCTACATAAGTGTATGTAATGGGCTGGCCAATGCTTCTGAGCAAATTAACCCTTAAATAGGGTCACATCCTGGTGTCCTTTCTCATTCCAAGATCAACACAGCCAGTTGGAATCTTCTCTCCGTCAGTAAAGACCTCCTAATAGCGAATTGTTTCATAAGTGCCTTAGACAGATGCAGAGAAACTTAAGCCACTGAAATCTTTCTGAATAATGTATTAACTGTTCTGAGATAACAATGATATGCTAATAGATTACATAATGTAAGAGCCTTATGAAAATTTATGAATTAAAAAAATGCTTCCAAGAACTTCTCCATGTCTTGCATCTTCAGTCAGTTCTAATCCATCACTGCCTATATCTAGAAACCTCAGAGTACCAGTTCAGGGTTGCTATAGAAGCGGGATGAAAGAACACTCATGAAAGGTATGGGTATATTTGTATCAAGAGGAAAGGTCATATTCTGAATCTAGCATTTCCTATCTTTGAAGAGGGAGTCCTTTGATTTTAATCATACAGTTCCTTTCTCTCTAAAATAGTCATCAACACCTAACCTTATAGACTATAAAAAATTAAAATTCAGTAACACGCATATAATGAATAGTAAACATTTTTATAAGTTATCCAGATTGACCCAGCTGGAAAGAAAAAAGAAAAAGAAATGCACACAGGTACAAGAAATTTCCTGACCTATTTGTAGACGTTGATCTACCGAATGCACAGTACTTGCTATCTCCTGAGTGCTACCGCTACAAAGATGTCTGCCGTGTACTTGGGGAGCCTGAGAGGAGGTTTTCTGCTCCAAAGAAAATGCTGACTGTATGAGCAGATATGACACACTGCTTTAAGGAATGTCTTATGCCACTTGAAATAGACAATCTTTCCTCATTTATCTACAAGATGTCTGCCTGCCAAGTTGTCTCTAAGAGACAAACTACTGAGGACACTGAAACTCATGTGTCGTCACTCCCGGCTACAAAGCCGCAAGCTCAATGTGCCAGAGCTGACTCACCAAGTCCATGCGGTATTTTAAACCATCTGGAAGCTCTTAACTCACACCGGTTCATGGCGATGTGTGCTCTGGTGGCTAATACATGGTTGATGAACTTCCACTCCTGACAGCTTACTCTCAATGAACTACTAATTCCAAACAGGGTGAAGGAGGACACTTGAAGCTGTTAAGATTTTCTTGATTCATCCATGTAACTACAGCACTCAGTGTCTGTCTTAGAGCTGGGCACAGTGGTCAACCATGTCTGTGATTTTGAAACTGAGACAGGAGAGCATGGATTCAAGGCTACATACCAACACTTAAAAACAAAATAAAATTGTTTCTTATAAAGAAGATCTCTTATAGACAAACATTTATTATAAATGCATTACCACTAAATTACTAAATCTATCAGTAGGTGGTGATCTGTACACAAACAGCCCAGTGTTGTTTGAATTTTTGAAAAGTATGAATATACACCTTACATATTTACTAAATGAATATTTTCAAAATGGTTTCTAGAAAATGTTATTCCCAACAGAGGGGAAGCATTTTTCTTAAATCCAACACATGGGGAAAAGACCCCCCTGGGTATCTGGAAAGCAGAAGCTTTGAGAAAGTCTTGTAAGTTGAGTCACCTTTAACCAAGCTTTTCCAAATGGATTTGGCTGGGGGACCATGCACACAGGAAGAGAGAGCTCCCCTTATAAAGAGAAGGCTTAGAAAGTCTGTTTCGTGTTGCACACACTTTTTGTTACTACAGATAGCAACAGGTAAGTAGTTGACAAAATAGCCATCGGTAACATGAACAATGTATTAGGACATTTGAAAGGGGGTGACCAATCAAAACTACTACTTAAGTAAAACAAAATCAAAGCAAGCGAACCCTTAAAGGGAACCCGAGTGGAGATGGCTGCGATGGAGCCCCTGCAGAGCCGTCATGCCAAATCCTGGGGTACGTACAGAGCGGGCTGAGAAAAGATGAGCTCACAAAGGCCTACTGCGTTTCCCAGGTTACTCCTAAGAATGTCAAAGGTGCGTGTAAGTAATATTCAAGACCATGCAAGGAGAAAACAAATCTTACAAGGGCCTAACACAGCGAGAAAAATCAAAGTGTTGCTCATTTGTTTGTCTGGGTTGGCTTTGCCTTTTACACTATAAGGGTAAAATGAATAAAAATGATTCGCTAAAAGTTACAGCCTGGCAGGTGAGCATACAGATGTAATCTCACCATCCAGAAGGTTGAGGGGCAGAAGGGATGCTGAGTTTGAGGCTGGTTTTGGCTGTTTAGGAAAGACTCTACCCCTCCCCCCCAAAAAAGTTGCTGTTTTCATTTTACAAAACAAACACGAAATGGCTGATGACAGGGTGCATATAATTTAATCCCCGCCCCTGGATCCCGAAATCACACTTTCAAAGTTTAATAAAATGACATTAAATGAAAAATGATGAGTGAAAGAGCACTAAGAAGAGAAAACAGAGCCCTGGATACCCGCATCTGTTGAAGTGCACTGCTTATGGGGGGAGCAAATTAGTGCTTTGTGTCCATAATATAGAGCGCTCGTTGCTTCTGATTTCAGAGTACAGAATACAAATTACCTCTCATTACACACCATGTAAGTGAGGTCAGCCCGACTCCCGAATGGCATGTCTCTTTTATAAAGAGTAGGCTTCAGAGAGTTTACAAAGTAGTGCTGCATGTTACGCATGCCTTGCAGCAGCTAAGTAAAAAGATGATGCAATCTTACTATTTGGTAGATAATGCCATGCTAATTGGAATCACATAATATGGCGAACATTATACCAAGGCTCGCTGGCTAAACTTCCACCTAGAAAGCAGGACAGCAAGAAACACAGGAAAGCCACACCCCTAGGACCACATAGAGCACCTCTTTTGTCTTGTCTAAAACACAGAATACACACTGCTGTTGAATGGAACAAAAAGATTGCTGTAGGTGGGATCTCATACAGTCACAGATGACACTAAGCCTAAGGTTGT